GCCCTGGGTATTTAACCTCTGCATCTGGCACAGTGGTCATATAAGAAGAATAGAAATTTAGTGAAAAATTTACCCTGCCCAGAAAACATGGGCAACATACCAAAGTTTGTCTATTAATACTTTTACCAATACCATATACTAAAAGTATTACTGATTTATAGATGCTTCTAGGAATTCTGAAAGAGATATGCTCCCACAAATGTGACATATATAGGCCAAAGTCCTGGGAGACACCAACAGTAAAGTATATTTGACATGAGTGTTACATTAAGACACAGAGACTTCAAGATCAAACTGTCAGTTTTTAAAAATATTTTATTATTTTTATCTTATATGTGTGTGTATTGCCTGCATGTATGTAAATGCATCTGTCTTTTGCAGTGCCCATGGGGATCAGAAATGGGCATGGATCCCTTGGAACTGGAGTTACAGATGGTTGTTAGCTGCCATGTAGGTGTTGGGAATTGAACCCGGGTCCTCTGCAAGAGAATCTAGTGCTCTTAGCTGGTGGGCCATTTCCTAGTCCCCTGTCAATGAATTTTTGAATATTTATTCATTCTGGAAACAACTGGATCTTTTAACAGATTGCTGAATCGTCTTACTTATAGTTAATAAAATATTAAGAATTTTTTGTACCTATGACATAAAAATTCCCAGAGTTCAAAGTATCAAATAATAGAAACACTGGTTAATTTTTAAATGTTGAAGAATTCCATAAAATGAAAATACAGAATGTTGGAAATGTTGACTGTAATGATAACAAGTATAAGAAATCCAAGTAACATAATTATTGAAAAATAGAAGCACAGAATTTCAGCACTGATTATACTTGAAAAGTCCTTCCTATATGTGAGACTTTATACAGGTCAGAATCTACAAGTCACCTGTGAGTCCTCAGCAATTGGAGGAAACATCCTGGATATTATTATTACGGAATCCAAAGAGGCTTGCTTCTCCTTAACCTTTCACTAAATCCTCAGCCTTATCACATCTCTTTGTGGTAATATTGACCACCTGGTATTCAGCACTAAAGTCTCTTTCAGCAAGTGCCTCAGAATGCTTTTCAAGAAGAGCTTAACGGCTGAAATACCTCCATTTCCTCATTCATTGACATGTCAACCTTTCAGTGACACAACCTGGCTTCCATGAATAAAAAATAATAGCATGACACATACTCTTAAGAAACAATAATTGATTTGTTTCTTTTGCAACTTGAAAGAGTCCACAAGATTTGCTCTGAAGAAAGGAAGTGAACAATTTAAGATCTCATTAAAAAGCTGAATGGCCTCTGCCATTAAGCGGAGTGGCCTCTACCAAGGGTCTGGGCACTGCAGTGGACAGAAGAAAATCAGAAAAATAAGCATGACCCAGGTCCTTAAGCACTGAGAATGTTCCCATTCTTAAAAATTTGACTGTTTTTAATTTCATCTTGTGGCTAAATCTTCAGTCTCCTTGTACAATGTGTCCCCTTCCTTGTGCCTTGGGCATGCGTCTGGTAATCTGTTTTAATTGCTTGAGTACAAATACTATTTTGACGCTAGAAAATTGAAAGAAAGTAGAACTTGGAATGGAAAAAATGCAAACCTTACTACAAGTAATTCTTTCATGATTTAAAGGATTCTGTAATGCCTTCATCATAGTTATTATTATTGAATGAGTTAATGAAAGCATACCTTACATAGTATAAGTAATAGAGTAAGTACTCAGGTGACAATCATGTTCTCTTGGCAATTGCTCAGGTTTGCCACCAAATATCACATTTCAGAAGTGCTCAGAATTGTATGACTATGATCTAAGATTGCCATCTTTGATAATAGTGCATCATTAACCAAAGTCAAAATTACACTGAGACTAATAAAGAAACCTCTTTTGAGGTTTGTTTTTAAGCATGACCATAACCTCAGCTTTCAAAGGTACCAAAATTATAACTACTAGGTTCCTTGATAGAAATAACAGGGTGAACTCAGAGTTTCAGGTCTCCGAGTATTTTAGAAAAATCCAAGCTTTAATGGCAAAATCAGGATATGGACACTACCCCCATGAACAATGGGATCTCCAAAATAGGTTCGAAAGTTTCTTGAATAAGAGAACTATGAAGGGTGTTGTTATCAGTCCTTTCGGCTCTTAACAGCTTTGATTTCCCAGGCCACAAAACCTTGAAGACCTATCCTCAAGGTAAGAGGGACATAACACCAGGAAAAATAGGTTTCCCAGGCTTAGCTCAAACAGCTCCATCACTGAGTTCAACCCCTTTCTCCTTTCTACCTCAACTCAGAGTCTACATTCTTTCATACCCTTGTGCATGCCCACTGGAACTACTGTCATTGTCAGTGACCCTGTGTGGATACAGATGCTGCTCCTATTTGTGCCTTGTAAGACCACCATCTATCAGAACTGATTTGCCTGGCCTCAGATGCCGAGGATGCAGTATCATCTCCCTGCTTCAAGACTCGTTCTGTCCCGTGGGATATTAGTTTGTTGCTTACAGTGTGACAGTGCTCCTATAGAGCACACAAAGGAGACCATGTTATCTTAGAATACCTCTGGGAGTCATTCACACACACTTGGGTTTCAGTGGCTTTGGCTCTGTTAAGTTTTAGTTTCATAATGTTAAGCAAGTGACTCAACCTGTCTGATTCTAGGTTTTCTCATATATAAAGCAGAAATAGCTGTTCTTGGTTTATTCCTTTTCCTTTATATAAGCTTTCTTTTTCAGAATAGTTTTAAATTCATAACAAAAAATTGAGTGCTCCCATAAACTCCATAGCCTCCCCACCCACATAAAACCAACTCTGTCATCATTTCTAACCAAAGTTATATGTTTATTATAATCTATGAACCCAAAGTGGCCTGCTATTATCATCCAAAAAAAACATGGTTAGCAGTAGGGTTCACTTACACACTTTGTGAATTTTGAAAAAATGTATAATGATGTGGGCCAACTAACCTAGCATCCCACTTAGCTTTCTGCTCTGACAATCTGTGTCCTGCTGTTTATGCAGTTATGTTATCTGTGTCCTCACAACTGCTGCCTTTTTCTCATTTCCACAGTGCCAATCAGTTGGAATAATGCAGTGTGTGGCTCCATTCACTCAATGATTCAGGTGTTCCCCATGTCTTTTCATGGCCTGATATATCATTTACTTTTAGCACTGGATGCTATTCCACTGCCTGTAGATACCCATTCATCTTTTGAAGGACTTGTGGATGCACCCTAGTTTTGGTAATTATAAATTAAGCAGCTCTAAACATTTGTTCATAGGCTTTTAGGTGAACAAAAGATTTCATGCAATTTTTGTAAATGTCAACAGGCATAATTATTGGATTATATGGTCAGAATTTAATTTTGTAAGAAATTGTCAAACTGTTCTTTTCCAAAATGCCACTTCACTCTTATCAAGAGTTTCTTTTGGTCTGTATCCTCAGCACCATCTGCTGTGGTCAATGTGTTGAATATGGAAAATTACAATAGAGAGCCTTATCTTGTTTTAATTCATAATTCTCTTAATGACATGTGATTTTGAACAATTACACATGTTTATTTACCATCTTTATATGTTATTTAGTGGCATGTCAATTCAGGTTTTTAACCATTTTAGTTCAAGATATGCATTTTCTTGTTCTTGAATTTTAAAAACAATCTGCGTAGACTGGATGATGGTTTTTTATCAGGCACATGTTTTGAAACATTTTTTTTCTAGTCTGAAGCTTCTAGTCTCATTCCGTATGTTGTCTTCACCCAGTGGCCTTGTCACAGCAGTGTCTTCATTATTTTATTCACAGACTGCATCTTTCATACCATCATTACATATACAAAGAGCATCTATATTTTCTCATATGTTATCTTTTAAGAATTTTCTAATTTTGCATTTTATAAATAGGTTTACAATACTCTTTGTGATAATTTGGGGGTAGGGTATAAAAATCTGTGTCTAGATTCACTATTGTTCAGGTGACTTCTAGTTTGTCCAGCATTATTTTTTAAATCCTTTTTCTCCAATGTATTACATCAACCTATGAATCACAGACAAAGTGGATCACATTTAGATAAATCTATTTCTATTCTGTCTGCTCTGCTCCATTGGTATATCATTCAGCTCTGTTGCTAGCATTACACTGATTTTGATTATCATAGCTTTATAGCAAGACTTTTTGAGGTTTACAATTGTCAATAACCCAACTAAGTTCTTCAACTTCAATAATGAGTTGGAAATTTTAGGTCTTTTGTCTCCAACTAATCTTTGGAATCAGTTTGTCAGTAATATGTTTGGCCTTTTATTGAGATGGTATTTGTTCCTAAAACAAGCTAGAAGAATGTATATATTGACATAATTGAATTTTCTTATTCAGGAATGTGGCTATCCATTTAGTTCCTCCATTTTATTCATTAGACGTTTATTGCTTCACTTACAGCTCTTATACAGAGTTATTTTTACATCTAAGTATTTAACAATTATGGATGCTAATGTAAA